TTGTGTCTCGTCGTTATAACTTTTTTTTTTTTTTTTTTTAGAAATTTCAAAACGGGGTGTGTAAAGTCTCTTCGTATAACTTTTTTTTTTTTTTTTTAGAAATTTCCAAACGGAGGTGCTGTGTCTCTTCGTATAACTGTTTTTTTTTTTTTTTCAAAAAAGGAGGTGTTGTGTCTCTTCGTATAACTTTTTTTTTTTTTTTTTTTAGAAATTTCAAAACAGAGGCGTTGTGTCTCTGTGTAGTAACTCTTTTTTTTTTTTTTTTTTTTTTTTTTTTAGAAATTTCAAAAGGGTGTGGCGTCTTTTAGGTATTTCGAAAGGGTGGTGGTCACTTCATACAGCTCTTTGGACATATAAGGTGTTAAACCACTCCATATAACTCTTTTTGAAACGGAAGAAGGTATTAAGTCACCTCATGCAGCTCTTTTGAAATGAAATTCTAGGGGGTTTGTGTCACTCAATATGCTATGGGGAGGTAGCATACCCTACCCCTCTTCCCCTTCCTCCCCGTCCCCTCTCCCTCTTCCCTTTCCTCCCCATCCCCTCTCCTTCCCTCTCCCCCTCTCCCCATCCCCCTCTCCCTCTTCCCCTTCCTCCCATCCCTTCTCCCTTCCTTCCCCTTCCTCCCCACCCCCTCTCCCTCTTCCCCCTTCCTCTCCACCCCCTACCCTCTTCCTCCCCACCCCCTCTCCCTCTTCCCCTTCCTCCCCACCCCTCTCCTCTCTTCCCCTTCCTCCCCATCCCCTCTCCCTTTCCCCTTCCTCCCCACCTCCCTCTCCCTTTTCCCCTTCTCCCCACGCCCCTCTCCCTCTTCCCCTTCCTCCCCACCCCCCTCTCCCTCTTCCCCTCCTCCCTCCCCCCCTTCCCTCTTGCCCTTCCTCCCATCCCCTCTCCCTTTCCCCTCCCTCCCCACCCCTCTCCCTCTTCCCCCTTCCTCCCCCGCCCCTCTCCCTCTTCCCCTCCCTCCCCATACCCCCTCTTCCCCTACCCATCCCTAAATCTTCTCTACAGAACTGACGGCGCAAGACTGCCTGTACATGGGCAAGCACTCCTCAACCTCGGCTTATATCCCCGGGCTATCCAGTGGTTCGAGGAAGCCTACCTTCTAGCAGGTCACGAGGGGAACGCCACTGACCCAAGATCAGGTCAACATGTTCCTCAACACGGCTATCAAGGCGGTAAGGTCACGGCTCTGGAATTAGAGGGAAAGATCAGAAAAGAGATTTAAGATGTTAATGGATGAAATATGCGGATTGGTGTTCAAAAATCGAGAGATTTAAATGTAATATGTATTAGTATATTTGTGCGTGAATCAAAAACTGTTCAGAATTTCAGAAGATGTAATACCACATTTTGATATCAGATACAAGCGACCATACTGATATATAAGGATGATTAAGACATATCCATTCATTCTTATCCTCCCTAGTGTCTCTGTTAACTTATATATATATATATATATATATTATATATAATATATATATATATATATATATATAATATTATATATATATTTATATACATACATATATAATATATATATATATATATAATATATATATATATTAATAATATACATACATATATATATAAATATATATAATATATATATATAATATATATAATAATATATATATATATATATATATACATACATATATAATATATATATATATATAATATATATATATATATATATATATATACATATATACATATATATATATATATATATATATATAATATATATACAAATGATAATAATACTGATAATGATGAAACAAAGATACATGCCCATCACACAACATCAAACTAACAACAATCAAAGAATAAAATAAAATAAAAATCCCCGCCCTTGGCTAACCCACCTTTGACCCCCACAGTACGACGAGCAAGTGCTAGGCCGAGAGGGGACGAGGACCCCTGCCCTCCACACTGCCGAGGTGGACCCCAAGAAGTTCCAGTACCGTCTTGGGACCGACCTCACGCCCCAGGAGGATGCGCTGAACTTCCAGGCTCTTTGCAGGGGCGAGCAGCTGCTGGTGGGTGGCTTGGGTTGCTGATTGTGTTGTTTTGGGGTTGATTGAGTTGTTTGTTTGTTTGTTTGTTTTTCTGTGTGTCGTGTCTGTTGTTGTTTTTTTATTATATATATTTTTTTCTTAGTGTGTTTGTATTTGTTTTTAGCTTCATATGTGTTTTTTTATTGTTTTTTATATTTTTTTCTTAGTGTCAATTTGTATTTGTTTTGGCTTCATTTGTTTATCCTTTTCCTGTTTTTTTTCTATTTTCTATTAATTATATGTTCCTCTCCTTTCCCTTTACTTTTTCCATTCATATCCTCTGTTCAACATTGTTCTCTCGTCATTTTGTAATAAAATTGACCGTATTTACACTAACAAGCACCTCGGGTCATTCCAGATACCAATAATGAATAAAAAAAGAGCAATAGCAACAATGATAATTGTATAAATAATTTGACCAATTTTCGATTTCAAACCTCGATCATTAGCAACAAAATCAAGCATAAATTTGTATCTTTCTTGACCTTTTCCCACCTTGACCTTCCTGTAGATTCTTAAAAGACAAACACATAGACAATAAAAAATACAATTCTCCACACTCCACATTTACTATAAAGTCAAGTTCAGTCTAAACAATGTTAAGAAAATTATGATAAAGATATATTTCCGGCAACAGTTGATAGCCAGATCACAAGGCAATATCTCATTAACATTAAGTGGATTTCCTGTATATGCAAATTTAGATCTTAACAACAAATACGGAATAAAAAATTCAATAAATATATTATACTTCAAATCCTGTCTACTAGCAAACATCTGCCTTTACAAGTCATATATTTTTAGACCTTTTCCTAGCTTTTCTGACTTATTTTTCATAATTTTCATGATTTTTCCCCAAATCTTATCCATCTTGCTTAACTATTTTCACTTATTTTTCATAATTTTCATGATTTTTCCCATTTTTTTCCGTCCTCTTATCCATCTTGCTTGGCCATTTTCACAATTTTTGACTCAGTTTCTCCTAGCTTTCTTAAACTTTCGTCATGGACTAAGGACAAGACGACCAAGTTCCAAAACAACATAAATCACCTAGTATTCCATCCCAATTTTTTTACTTCAATACCGACAAAATCCATAAAAATCTCCATCTTTCCTTCCCTCTTTCCCCAATTTCTCCGATTCTCAAATCCCAGAACACAACAACAAAAAAATCGAACCACAAAACCCCATAACTAAATCCCAACAACCCAGATAATCCCCCGAAACAACAACAAATCAAAATAAATCCATAAAAAAACACCAAGAAATCCCCAAAATCCCACATCTGGAGTCCACCCGCCGAAATCTCCAACTTTCCTAACCTAATTTCCCTCCAACTCTCCTTTGACCTTTTCCCGCAGAGTCCCGAATACCGAGCGACCTTATCCTGCTTCTACGACACCCGCGGGGAGGCCTACTTCCGGCTCATGCCAGTCAAGGTCGAGATCCTTCACCATAACCCCGAACTTATGGTGTTTCATGACGTCATTTCCGACCGCGAGATCGAGGCTGTGAAGACGATGGCGCAGCCGATGGTGAGGGTCCGGGTTTATTGGTTTTGTTTATTTTCTTTGTCAATTTTCGTTTGTTTTTAATCTTTACTTATTATTATTATGATGATGATGATGATGATGATGATGATGATGATGATGATGATGATGATGATGATGATGATGATGATGATGATGATGATGATGATGATGATGATGATGATGATGATGATGATGATGATGATGATTATTATTGTTTGTTGTTGTTTGTTGTTGTTTGTTGTTGTGGTGTGGTTGTTGTTGTTGTTATTATTATTATTATTATTATTATTATTATTATTATTATTATTATTATTATTATTATTATTATTATTATGATTAATTATTATTATTATTATTATTATTATTATTTTGGGTGGGGGTTAGTTCTGTTATTTATTGGGTTTGGTGTATTTACTTTATTCATTCCATTCACTTGAAAACGGGTAAAATTGTATAATAAATGATCTCACTATGATTCTGGTAAATTTTTTTAAATGTTTAGTTCTTTTAGACTTTTTTTAAAGGCCTGAGTAAGGCAGGTGTCCTCTGCTGCCTCCCCCCCCCCCTCCCCCTCAAATTACACCCTTGTACGTGCACATAGACATTTCGAATGGAAGTTATCAAGGTGTCATTTGTGCTCTGTTAACGCACATTATCAATTACTAAAGTCGGTTTAAATGTCTGCACTATTACATTTTACATCAATTTTATCGTCGTTTATTTTTACATCATTTATCGTCTGAGTTGATTTTAGTAGTTGTTATGTGTCTGAATAAACCGTATTTTTCTTTATAGCTTGCACGTGCGATGGTACAGGGAGCACAAGGAAAAGGGAACACTGTTAGTACCACGCGTACATCAAAGGTGAGAAAATTATACAATAGCATAGTTATACATGAAATATACTCGTTTTCTATAGTTACCCGGTAAATCGTTTTCTATCTTTTAGATGAGGGTAAACTATGAATTATATTATGTACTACAATTGATTCTGATAAGGGTTTAAAAATTATCTGTATATCAAAGAGACAAAGTAAAAGATTTCTATTACCTGTGCAAATTTATGGTTGCAGTTTTTACCTAGTATTTACTCAAACATTTTCTTGTAATAAGGTCATCCTCCTTTACTCACACACACACACACACACACACACACACACACACACACACACACAACACACCACACACACACCACACACACACACAAACACACACACACACACACACACCACCACCACACACACACACACAAACACCCACACCCTACATAAAAAAAAAAACACACACACACAAAACAAAGCTAACCTTTCTACTCCCTTACCCAACCCCTTTCAACCTCGCCCTCCTCCCTCCGACCCTCACCCTCTGCGCCTCCTTCAGGTGGGCTGGCTCGACGACTCCCTCAACCCCCTCGTCGCTCGCCTGGGCCACAGAATATCCCTCCTGACGGGCCTCTCGACTGACGTGGCTGCAGAACACGCCGAGCTCCTGCAGGTTTCTAACTACGGCATCGGGGGTCACTACAACCCGCATCACGATTACTTGCTGGTGGATAAGACCGAGAAGGAGGTGAGGTCGTGTGGGTTGGGGAAGTGTTGTGGGTTGTGGGTGTGTTGTGGGTTGTGGGTGTGTTTGTGGAAGTGTTGTGGGTTGTGGATGTGGATTGTATGTTGTGGATGTGTATTATCGGTTGTGGATTTTGTGTATCGTGGGTTTGTGGATGTATATTATCGGTTGTGGGTGAGAGTTGTGTATTGTGGATGCGAATTGTGGGTTGTGAATGCGTGTTGTGTATTGTGGTTGTGTATTGTAGGTTGTGGATGTGTATTATCAGTTGTAGATGTGGGTTGTGTATTGTGGATGTGTATTGTGGGTTGCGAATGCGTGTTGTGGGTGTGGATGTGTATTGTGGGTTGTGGATGCGTGTTGTGTATTGTGGTTGTGTATTGTAGGTTGCGGATGTGTATTATCAGTTGTAGATGTGGGTTGTGTATTGTGGATGTGTATTGTGGGTTTGCGAATGCGTGTTGTGGGTTTGTGGATTGTATTACCGGTTGTGAAAATGCAATGTGAGTTGTTGTTGACAATTGAGTAAATTTTTCTCTTTTATTCTTAAGGGGCATCTATTCCTGAGTGTAAATGCTTTTTACATTTGTCTGTCTGTGTGTTTGTGTGTATGTGCACATATGTGTATACGGACATGAGCCTCCTTTACAGACTTTTTGATGGTCGTTTTATACTGCGGCAAATGTGGTATTTAAACCTTTAAACAATTAGCAAATATGGGATGCACTTTCATCCCATTCAGTAATATAATTAAAAGAGATTTTATAAGAATAAGATTGATGAAAAACAGAGAAAAAAATGTGTCAATGTGAAATTAATCATTTGATTTTTTCTTTCTTTCTATCTTTTACTTTCCTCCTTGCAGCTTCTTCACAACATCCACCCTCGAGAACTCATCATGGGAGACAGAATCGCCACTTTTATGTTTTATGTGAGTTGTGATTACCAAGTAATAATTAGATGATATATATATATATATATATATATATATATATATTATATATATATATATATATATATATACATATATATATATATATGTTTGTTCTTTATACATTTTTTATATACCTTTGTTCAATAATTTAACTTTTGTGTTGATCATATAGATTATCAATTATTATTTATTATTCAGTTATAGTTTGGTTAACTAAATATTGAAGAGTGAAGAAAAGGGTCCGATAAAGTGTGAACAGATAAATAATTAATTGCATTTTGCCTATTATTTTATTATCCATCATCACTTATTTTATAAAATTTATAACGATCTCCACCGAAATTAATCGACACTGATAATTCAGGGTTGTGTACTTGTAGTCTATTACGATGATATTAATTACATAATTTGCGTAAATTGGCTTATCTCAGACGTAACGACCAGGCAGGATAAAGAGATATTAAAACTTCAAAATGTCAGTTGGCGGTAGTTAAAAATAAGTCAGTGAAATTAGATAACGTGTTTTCGCAACATGGCGCTGTATGTGATTAAGAGTGGAATCATTATTATTTCAGAAAGAACATAAAATCCAATTAAAGTACTTTCAAGATTAATAACCACATTTAAGTAGAACGGCCTTGTTTCACTTAAATCTGAAATCGGTTTGGAAAAGGCGATATAGAAATATTCATATAAAAGTTGCATTTTACATGGTGTGTAGTAAAGAATTATGATTTGAAATATCCAAATTCTGATAGTAGAAAAAAAATTCAGAGACCGCATACCTCCGCCAAGGCAGGTATGCGCTTGAATAAGAATAATCACCGACGGAAAATATTCCTGAATCCTGATCCAGATCACCAATTAAATATACTGGCATCCAAATTGGGCTAAAACTCACCCCTGGCAAAAATAAAGAGATAGATAAACAAATAGATAAATAAATAAAATAAAGAAATAAACAAAACAAAACAAAACAAAAAATCTTTTTTTTTTCATACTTTTTGTGTTATCCTGCTAACCATCGAACAAACAAACTAACCAACCGCATCAAAAACACAACTTCCTTGGCGAAGGTAAAAATGCTGACGAAATTTGACCTGTGCCAGCTGTCAAAAAAAAAAAAAAAAAAAAAAAAAAAAAAAAAAAAACGCATACCATAAACCCTCGGAAACATGAAGTTTAGTTTCATACGATATAATATTTTAAATAATAAAACTAAAAATAAAAAGATTATAAAAGAGGAGACCAATAAATGATTAAGGTGATAATGATATAGGATGAGTTTGCTGTCGGCGACAATAAAGATAACAGTAGCTTTAATGATTACAGTATCAGGAACTATGATAATGATGATAATAGTAATAACAGACTGATAATGAATATAATAATATAGGATGCTAACCACAAATACTACAATATCAAATATACCAACAACATTCACGACCACACACACACACAAAAGAGAAAATTAACGTTTATTCATCATAACTTTTATCGTTCCCCTCCCTTTCCCAGCTGAGTGACGTCACACGCGGAGGTGCCACGGCCTTCCCCCGCCTTGGCACCGCTGCCTGGCCCTCCAAGGGATCCGCCGCCTTTTGGTACAACCTGAAGAAATCTGGCCACGGAAACACAGCTACTCTCCATGGTGCCTGCCCGGTGGTGCTTGGGTATAAGTGGGGTAAGTGGTGCTAGGATGTAAGTGGTGCTTGGGTATAAGTGGGGTAAGTGGTGCTTGGATATAAGTGGGGTAAGTGGTGCTTGGGTATAAGCGGGGTAAGTGGTGCTTGGGTATAAGTGGGGTAAGTGGTGCTTGGGTATAAGTGGGGTAAGTGGTGCTTGGGTATAAGTGGGGTAAGTGGTGCTTGGATATAAGTGGAATATGTGGTGTTTGGATGTAAGTGGTGCTTGGATATAAGTGGGGTAAGTGGTGCTTGGGTATAAGTGGGGTAAGTGGTGCTTGGATATAAGTGAGGTAAGTGGTGCTTGGATATAAGTGGGGTAAGTGGTGCTTGGATATAAGTGGGGTAAGTGGTGTTTGGGCAAAAGTGGGGTAAGTGGTGTTTGGATATAAGTGGGGTAAGTGGTGCTTGGATATAAGTGGGGTAAGTGGTGCTTGGATATAAGTGGGGTAAGTGGTGCTTGGATATAAGTGGGGTAAGTGGTACTTGGATGTAAGTGGGATATGTGGTGTTTGGATATAAGTGGGGTAAGTGGTGCTTGGATATAAGCGGGGTAAGTGGTGTTTGGATATAAGTAGGGTAAGTGGTGCTTGGGTATAAGTGGGGTAAGTGGTGCTTAGGGTAAAAGAGGAATATGTGGTGCTTGGATATAAGGAGAAATAAAGGAACAGAAAGAAAGACAAGAAGAAGGATAAAAAGACAGAGAGGAAATGGGATTGAGAACGAAATAGGAACTGGAAAAAAGACCAAATATAAATACCCTTTCCTCATTTTTTTCAATTGAGATTATCATTAACTCCTAAATTCCTCCATTTTCTCTCCCACAGTCAGCAACAAATGGAACAAAGAACGCGGGGGGATTAAGAACAAAAAAAAGGACTGGAAAAAAGAACAAATATATATACCCTTTCCTCATTTTTTTCCTCATTTAGACTAGCATTAACTCCTAAATTCCTTCATTTTTCTCTCCCACAGTCAGCAACAAATGGAACAAAGAACGCGGGGGGATTAAGAACAAAAAAAAGGACTGGAAAAAAGAACAAATATATATACCCTTTCCTCATTTTTTTTATTTCATTTTAGACTAGCATTAACTCCTAAATTCCTTCATTTTCTCTCCCACAGTCAGCAACAAATGGATCAGAGAACGCGGGGAGATTAAGAACAAAAAAAAAGGACTGGAAAAAAGAACAAATATATACACCCTTTCCTCATTTTTATTTATTTATTTATTTAGACTAGCATTAACTCCTAAATTCCTTCATTTTCTCTCCCACAGTCAGCAACAAATGGAACAAAGAACGCGGGGGGATTAAGAACAAAAAAGGACTGGAAAAAAGAACAAATATATACACCCTTTCCTCATTTTTATTTATTTATTTATTTATTTAGACTAGCATTAACTCCTAAATTCCTTCATTTTCTCTCCCACAGTCAGCAACAAATGGATCAGAGAACGCGGACAGTTCCTCAGGAGAAAGTGTGGTCTCAGCCCCGAGGAATAGACAAGGAGGTCCTACTCCAGGTCCTTACAAGAAATTCCTCCAAGACGGATACGATAAATAGGAAGGAAAAGATCAGTCAAGTGTCTATTGAAAGTGGATGTTTGGTACATAAAGAGCCATAAGAGGGTTTATTTGTGTGTGTCTGTGTTTGTGTATCAGGACACTTATACATATGTTGTACTTTTACTTGGGTATTCATGTACATTTACGTTTAGATTGATTAATTGGATAACTCACAGAGCTTGATATGAAAGAATATGTAGATTATTTGATTTTAAAATTTGATTATATTCTTAAAATTTTATTCTAGACTTGTTTGAAATCTACATTTTTCTTAAGATGAATCTGGATATGGGGACATAATTATTTTATGATCATATTCTCAATGGCTGAATTAAGGATATTTCTCAAGCCTTATGGAGTCTGCCCTTAAAAGATATCAAATATAAATAGTTTTATTTAATTTTTATTATTTTTTTATCTTTTATTTTATGGATTGGCAATTGCTTATATTTTTCATTTTCATTTTTCTTATTCAAGAATGTCAGTTTGTGTGTATGTGGTTGTATTGCTAGTTTCCTTTTTGTATCGTATCGATATGTATATATATATTCCTTATATTTGCTATGCACCATCACATAAATGAAAATTATATGTATATAGATACTAGATCAAATAAACACTTACCATTAGTATTAATATTTCATGGATTTTCAATTTTCTTCTTTGATTTTTCTTAAGCCATTGTTTTATCTATTTTCTTGTTTGTTTTGTCAGTTTTTTTTATTTCTTCTATTCTAATTTATTCTTCATTATTCTCTCTCCAATGTTCTTTTAATTGTCTTAGGTTAATATTATTTCCATCTATTGATATCTTTTTTAAATTGTATTCTAACTTGTGAAGTTATTCTTGGTGTGACTGATATCATGTGTAAATTTGTAAAGAAAATGGTTATATATACACATACATATATATTCATAAAGTATCGTTTATATATATATGTATCTTGGGATATATGGATGTGATATATAATGATAAAATATATAAGCTTTAAGATTAATAAGACTTTACATTAACCACTCATGCAAATTGTGTAATATGCCAATTATATTTATTGCTATAACGGATTATGATTTTATGGACGTGTGGAATAAAAAAGAATAAATAAATAAATAAATAGAAAGAAAAAAAATATTTTGTTTTGTAGACTTCGATTGGAAATTATACATTTGATTAAACACAAAATAGTTAAATGATTTTATAAACTTGAACAAAAAGTTGTGAAATGAGACGAGATATAGGATGTAAAGGAGAGAAAAAGAGACGAGAATAAAGGCACAAGAAAAAAAAAAATGAAAGAGGATATAATAGAGATATAAAATGTGCTTGTGAACTAAAAATCGACATATAACTAGATATATTAAAAGAGATGAGAAGAGAAGATAAAGATAATAATCATAATGAGATTGAGAGAGAAGCGGGAAAATGATTAAGAAAAGACGAGAGAGAGCAAAAACAAAAACAAAAAAAAACGTTAGAAAAAGGAGAAGAGAGAGAGAGAGATAAAAAGACGAAGAAGGAAGAGAGAGAAAGAGAGACAAAGAAAAGAAAGATAAACAAAACAAAAAAGATTAAAAAAAATATTCAAGACATTTCGAAACAGAAAGTAACGCAAGCTTTAGATTGCTCGATAGTTATAAAATATAATAATAACGATAAAAATAAATCAAAATGATACAGACTCACACCTGTCACGTAATCACAGCATCAGTGAGATTGGACTTTCATCTCATCTCCCAATCTCCGTTTTCTATGAATTACGTTTTCTTTCATCTGATTGCAGATTTTTTGCTGGAATTTGCGGTTAAGAACGCTATACTATGTTTGTTCCCTTTTCTACACACTCATGACTGAGTGATTTTTCTTTAATTAAGGCCCTATCACACTAGCACTTTTCCGTCAATTTCGGTTTCGTCTGAATTTGAGGCTTTCCGCAAGGATCGTCTGCAAACGAACGCCCAGACCAAGACGTTACGACCGTTTTCCGTCTGACTAATTTCCGCGTTGATCTTGTGCTATTAATAAATTAGATAGGATGAGTGAATGTAAACATAAGCTAATATTTTGGCACATTCGTATATACAATATATGTCATCATCTTTCTTTTAAAATAGCGTAATATGTATGAGAATGTTCGTGTGATTCCCGGGACCTCACTCCGATAGCGCCATGTTTGTTTACATGATTTTCATTCGGAGTTCATTCGGAAACGCAAAAAATTGACGGAAAATTGCTAGTGTCATAGGGCTTTTACTGATGATTAATGTTTATTGATGACGGTATTTTTGTCTTAGTGAAGGTGGATATGTATTGTTCTTACGCCATGTCTTTTTTTATTTTTGTATCTATTTCTGTATATTTTCTGTCGGTTAGAATTATTTGTCTCTCTTGTTCTCCTTTCTCTCTNGGATCTGCCCCCAATTATTAAACATCAAAATTTTTTTCTCCTAAATTCATTAAAAAAAAGGGGAAAAGTTTTTTTTTTGGAAAAAATTAATAAGAAAAAGCTATAAGCTAAAGTTTTAAAGGTGGAAATCTTTTTTTCTCCCTCGCCTCGTCCCTCGCCCCTCCTCACCTCTCTCCCTCTCTCCCTCTCTCCCCTCCTCTCTCTGCCTCCTCCCTCCCTCCCTCCCTCCTCCCTCCTCTCTCTCTCCTCTCTCCCTCCCTCCCTCCCTCCCTCCCTCCCTTCCCCTCCCTCCTCCTCCTCCCTCCCTCTCCCTCCCTCCTCCCTCCCTCGCTCCCTCCTCCGTCCTCACCTCCTCCCTCCCTCCTTCCTCCCTCCCCTTCCCACACGCACATTTAGACAAAGGAGGGGGGGGGGGTTAGAAAGAGAGACAAAGAAAGGAGTAAAATGACATAGATAAGAAAGGGGAGAATGGATAAGGAGGAATAAAAGGTGGAACCAGGTGAAATAGTTGAAAAAAATAAAGGAATGTAAAATGAACGAAATTTGTGATGAAAAAAAGCATCGATATTATTATTATTATTATCATCATCATCATTATTATCATTCCCATTATCATTATCGTTATTATTGTCACTGACATTACCATAATCAAAATATTTGATAGGCAGCAAGATTAGATGACGAAATCAGTTTTGTTTTTCTTTTTTGTAAGAATAAGCAGAATAAACTTGATGAATTATAGAATAAAAGGTTGGAAGAAGAACAAATGCATGAATAGATAAACAAAAAAAAATGAGGAATTAAAAAAGGTTAAATCAAGTACAGAACAGAACAAGACTGATAACAGTGGATAATTAAAAAAAAAAAATAAATAAAAAAAAAACTATAAAAGAAATTTTACAAACTAAAGCAGATAATAGAGAATGAGATTACAGTGAAGAAAAAACAAAGGTAGTATCAGGAAAATATTTAAGACGAAACAAATATATAGTGTATAAATAGCTTATGTTCCGACTCTTACTAAAATTGCTCTTAGACGAAATAATAAAAAGAAGTCAATTAAAAAATATTGTCTTGCCATCAAAACATTTAGATCGTGAGTCCTAATCAAAATCACTGGAATAAAAGAGTAAAGATGAATATAACGCATGTGTGAATGATAATTACAGATAGACACATAAATATACGTATAACAAGCAATGGATGGTAAACGACATGAAATACTCGCTTTAATAATAACGTTTATAGGTAGTACAGTAACGAACAAAACTCCTTGAATGAACTGAAGCTTCGAATCACTTTTTCCCTATACAAAAAGTGTGGTATCAAGCGGACGTTCGAAGCGGGATTCGAAACAGCTTCGACAAGTCTTTTCTTTTGACCGCGACAGCACCGTAGTCAGAGTCCCCTTGTTACCAACCCGGGTTAACAAGCAGCGTGACTAGCGGTCTTCCCCTTGCGAGCTCCCGCATTGCAATCTGTGACAGAAAGGAGAAGAAGACTATCCGCCACAAATTACTGGCTTTAGTTTCAAGTGTGTACACGTGTGTCTCCCCCACCCCACCACCACCCCCTTCCCCACCCCGTGTATCTCCCCCTCCACCCACACCCCGTGTATCTCCCCTCCCTCCTCCCCCTACCCCCGTATGTATCTCGTGTATCTCCCCCTTCCACCCCCGTATATCTCCCCTCCCCACCCACCCCCCACCCCCCGTGTATCTCCCCTCCCACCACCACCACCCCCCGTCACCCCTACCACCCACCACCCACCCCCGTGNTGCTATCTCCCCCTCCACCCACCCCACACCCCCCGTGTATCCTCCACCCACCACCCACCCCTCCATGTTCTCCCCCTCCTCATGCCCCTCACCCACCCCCGTGTATCTCCCCACCTCAGCCACCCCCACCTTTCCCGTGTATCTCCCCCTCCACCGCGACCCCGTGTAATCTCCCCTGCCACCCACGCCGCCCCGTGTATCTCCCCCCTCCCTCACTCGCCCACCACCCGTGTATCTCCCCGCTCCCTCCTCCTCCAACCCACCCTTTTCGCACCCTCCACGTGTATCTCCCCTCTCACCCACCCCAGTGGGCGTGCTTTACGAGAGGCACCGCGCTCACTCTTGACGATCTTCCGCGGTCCACTATAGTTTACCAGACGGTGCACGTCCGAAACCACTGCGCACCGTGTATCTTCCGTCCATCTCCACCCACCCACCACACCCCGTGTATCTTTTCTCCTCCACTCACGAACCCCCACCCGGGCCACACCTGTGTAATCTCCCCCTCCACCCCACCCCCCACCCCCGTGTAATCTCCCACTCACCCCCCCCCGTGTATCTCCCCCCACCCACCCCTACCCCGTGTATCTCCCCTCCACCTACCCCCTCCCGTTGTATCTCCCCTCCCCCTCCAACCCCGCCACCCCCCGTGTATCCCCCTCCACCCACCCCCGTGTATCTCCCCCTCCACCATTCCCCCACCCCCGTGTATCTCCCCTCCACCCATCCCCACCACCGTGTATCTCCCCCTCCACCCACCCACCCCCCATCCCCCGTTGTATCTCCCCTCCCTCTCCACCCACCCCCCACCACCCATCTCCCCCCCTCTCCGTCCTCCACCCACCCCCACCCCGCCTTGTATCTCCCCCTCCCTCCTCCCCCAAAGCACCCCCCACCCCCCGTGTATGTCCCCTCCCTCCTCCACCCAACCCCCATCCCCCGTGTATCTCCCCTCCCTCCTCCCCAACCACCCCCCACCCCCCGTGTATCTTCCCCCTCCCCACCCCCCTCCCCCCCTTGCTGTTTTCTCGTTCAAATACACGTATGAACCTTGAATGCGTCTGCGGATTTCCCGGAAAAAACGTGCGTTGGCTCGATTAACGAAGATGCTGGAGTACGGAAGCGGTTCTTATTCTCTCGTCTCGCGATGCTGAGTAAGAGGATTTTGAAATCAATGTGATCAATGCGTTTAATTGATATAATGCGTTTCATTAAAGCGAGTACGCGTGGATGGATAAAAGTGTAGAATTAAAGCGAGTACGCGTGGATGAATAAAAGTGTAGAAGAATGTGATGTTGAATGGGATTGAATGATAATAGTAATAGCAATAATACTAGGGATGATTCTGTTATTAAATGTGATATTCATAATGCAGCGATAATGATGATGAAGATAACAGTAGTAGTGATAACTATGATATTAGTGAGAACAACAGAAGCATGGAATTACGTAATTGGCCAAGAATAGCTACA